GGCCGCGGATGTGGGTGGGAGCTGGAGAGTCCTGTTCAGCCTGGTCATCCATCTCTGCCTTGTGTTGTCATCCACTGACCATCCGGGCGTTATTCCACGACTGCGTAAGGCATACCATTACAATACATCTTAATCTGTGTACTGTGTCTTAATTCAGTGTTGACCGGTCAGCCCGTCGTATCAACAAGATTCGGCATGTAAAAAATAATAAATGCAAGTAGGATAAGGGTATTTAGAGAGGGCAAAATATATATAAAAGGAATGGCCATTATCAGTGTGTTCGCATGCCTCGGGCATTGTCTCCCTGTGAGGGTGGTGGGGCGACTTGGCAGTCAGTCCGGGTGAAGCACCCTCTGGGACGCTGTCAGAGGGGGTGCACTGAAATCACATTTCTCACAAGTGCCTAAAGGTGCTCTTACACCTTGGGAATCTCTTTAGGAATGAAGGTCACACAGTTATGGCACAAAACACAATGCACTATACACTTCACAGGAAATCACGCCCATGAATATTGCCTGCATGCCAAGCAAATTTTTGAAGAGGATGGCCATTATGGTGGTTGACACAGTATAGGGGTCCATATGTCGGTTTGCTGCCAAATTTTATGATACTTAGCTTGTATAATGATCCAGCAAAGCGACTCTACCGTGCCATGCATGTTCTGCATCGGGTGTTCTTCATTCTGGCAGAACACAACACCCGTAGAGTTTTCAGTAGGTTCTATTTACTGGATAACAGAGACACACAAGCGAGTGTGGCGCCCTACTCTGGTCGAAATAACCAGCCTCATGCATATGTAAAGAAGGCTGGCAGCTTCCATATGTCCTTGCGTTAATACACTGCATTACGGCAACAATACTGGGCGCCGCTAAAGGAATAGAAAGCAATAAAGTATGAGAAGGATAAATATTACATAATATGCATACAGCATATATAATATACATACAATAATAATAATAATAATTATAATAATAATAATAATAATAACTTTTGGTTACTTGAAAATAATGCAGCCATAAGCTGAAAACATGCAAGCGATATAAGTGATACTGCACAGTTTAGGTTTACTCCCTCCAAAAAAGAAGCAGTATCGACCCCAAATAAGATTAAACATCACAATAATTGAGGTAAGTAAGTTTAGAGACTCATTCACCACGGGAAGCGACAGTATATAAATAAACTATTGTGACATGGGGGGGGAGGGTTATCTAACAAGGACCTTCAGCACAGTTACAGTAAAAAGAGATGAGGTAAAGAGAGAACACACAGGAGGACTTGATACGATGGAGGACGTGGAGATGATAGCAGGATGATTTTTCTATTGTGCTCATTTCTACTTCCAACTAAATTTGCCATTTATATTGACGCTGAGGAACTTAGTGAAATTCACCACCTGGAGGGAGTTGAGGCCCTGTGTGTTGAGGGAGGTTGTACATGGTTGGGGGAGAGGTTTGTATGGTTGATGGTGACTGTTCGGGGAGCTCTGAAGGGCGCTGTAATCAGGTTTGTGAAGTCGTCGACATAACTCCAACAAGCGAGAATATCCTTCAGGGCATCGTTGATGACGAAGAGGAAGCAGAGTACTAGGTTTCCTTACGCATGATATACTTTATTAATTTAAAGCAACACTAACATGGTAAATTAAAACGCTGAAAGTACGACACACGTAAACAAAGTTCGTGATTTTCCAATACGGCTCAGCTTCACTAAAAATGACAACAGTAATATTCAATTCCAGGTAGATCGTTAGGGGCTAGCCGGAGACGTGTTGTTTCCATTGTGTAGGTAGGCAGATTCGCACACCAGTGGGGTGAGTCACAGGTGATGGGGTTGTGTCCCCGGCTCTAAGCTAAGGAAGGCCATAGGCCATATTATGAGACTTCTCCGAATCCCAAAGTCGTTAGCCTTATTGATAACTGTGTTGTGATTAACTATGTCGAACGCTTTGGTGAATTCTATAAATGCGAGAGCCATAGGAGTTTTATATTTCTCTTGGTTGCAATGGAAAAAAAATATAAGAAGTTGGTGGAGGAGATTTTCATATCGCCGAATGGCTGAGTGTCTCTGGCTCTTGCAATGTCAACTTAAATTCAGTCAGATACAAAACCTTCGTAGATTAGGTTGGGTACTGGGGGTAATGGTGATGAGTAGTAACTCGTTTTATTATCCTGAACTTGGTGACATCGGATCTGATGACACATGTGAAGTATTCTTGTCAACGGGGCATTTTGCTTATCTTATCTGAGAGAAACATTGATGATGAGGGGAGAACTCCTAGTAGAGCTTCACTAGTAGGTCAAAGGGAGTGTTAGATCATTTAATCTTGAGGTTGTCTATTCGCTTCGCGACTGACTTCAAATTCGTGCAACAAGTCAGAAGGCGAAGGGACTGGTAGTGTTAACCTGGGAAAAGGCTGGCTTATAAGGGTGACAAAATTATCGCTATCTTGTTCAGCTGCGTCATCATTGGTGAGATGGCTGAAAAAGGAAAGGAATGTGTGTTTTTATCTAAATCGCCTAGTTCCTTCAACTTTCCATACCATTGAATGATGATTGGTCTGCTATAGGTGTCGCAACTAGGCTGAAGTGTAAGACTTTTTTGCTGCACGTTTTTCGAGAATGAATATTTTACGGAGAACCTTACAGTTAGTGTCGGTGTTGAGATGTGAGGACAGAGAAGAAACGGTGGACAGCTTCGGTGATAGTGTTTAGGTAATTTTGCCGCTTAGTGGCCACGTCATCAACACTTCAAACTTTGGTCCAAGGATATCGAACAATCCACTGTCTGTAAAGGAGCAGTGTGGAGTCAGTGAGTGTTTGTTTTGTGTGTATATGTGCTTGTGTATTTGATTTTATCTCGGAGCATACTATTTTGTCTGCTTGTGTAGTTTCTGTATTTGAGCATTTTGTTAATTTTAATGTACTGTATGTGTTTCAATTCATGTTTGTATTTTTTAGCTAATGAATATGTCTGTTTGTTTCGTAGAGTGTAAAGATGTGTTATAGTGTTTGCTTATGTAATTTTCTTAACTTTTGAGCGTATGTGTAATTACTTTTTTCTACATCTGCATCACAGAAGGGTTTGTAAACAGGTTAACTACAATTGCGTACATTACTTGGAAAAAATTTTATGGTGTTATTGTTAAACACCATGGATCGGGAAGGAATGTTCTTAAACATTAATATTTTATAAACATATTTTCACAAAAAATAATAGTTTCCACTATCACGTAAACAAATCTCTCTCTCATAATTAAGGCACCGTAGTCAAGGAATTCCTATGTGCTTGTTTATTTCTTCTACTTGTCTAAATTTTATATCAGTAACAACTTAAAACAAATTGCATTACAGGATAGAAATTCGCGAAGTCCCACAAACGAATGAGCATTTTTCAAGCTAAAATGAAACTTCCAGGTGACGAGATAATAATAATTAACTTTGACTTAACTTTCCAACACAGAGTCATGGCACTGACGGAATTTGGGATCTTCAAGAGGTGGTTCATGACCAGTATTCCCAACTCAACAGTTTGTCTTCATCCACCTAAGAAAACCCGGTCCAAACGTCGCTCTCTCTCACTAACCTCTGGGTACAATAACAAAGCTCTAATAACCAAAATCTAATAAATCTGTTTGTAATTTTTAGTTCATTGAAATTTTATCTACTTTAAAAAAATAACTTTTACAATGAAATGTAGATAGTTTTTCAAAATGTTGATAATTTTTTTTTAATTTTCTCTCAGGGGATGTTCGTGGTGCTGGCTGGTGTTTTTGCTGGAGATTCTCAGTCGTCTCAGTCCTATCAAGAGGAGTTAACTTCTAGTTACAAAATTATTGATATTCTGGAATAAATAAATAAATAAATAAACAAATAAATACATAAATAAATAAATAAATATGTATATATATATAAATATATATATATATATATATATATATATATATATATATATATATATATATATATATATATATATATATATATATATATATATATATATATATGCAAGTAAATCACTGTGCTGGCGCTGTGTAATTCACATCTTCAGGGCGAGGATGACAATTGAAAGCGCTTGGGAACTGTGTTTTTTCTTTCCTTGTGGTTATCAGCATATATATATATATATATATATATATATATATATATATATATATATATATATATATATATATATATATATATATATATATATATATATATAGTAGGTAGTAGGCAGCTACCAAACAGGGAGGTACTACTGCCTGGGAAGATATTGGAAGTATAGTGTGTTGTCTAATGGTAGACCCTGCTACCGTATGGCATCACGAAAATTGTGACCAAGTCCCAGGTTGCTCATCTGACTTTCTGCTTCATTTACACACAATTGCAGGGTCTCAATTGTTTCTCTTACCATTGACAACACAACATACATATATCGTTTCTCACTTTTGATCTTTTTTTTCATTTTTGTATTTATAGTTCTTTATTCTTAATATTATTATTATTATAGTTACTGTATTATTATCATCATTATTTTATTATTTTATTTTTGTTTGTTTTATCATAAATTTTATTTATTATGAATTATTATGACTATTATTATTATTATTATTATTATTATTATTATTATTATTATTATTATCATTATTATTATTATTATTACATTTTCGCCCCCCCAGGCCCCGATGTGGGTCGTGACCTGTGTCCGGGTGGGCTAATCCCCATAAAAAAAATATATAAATAAATAAATTATATATATATATATATATATATATATATATATATATATATATATATATATATATATATATATATATATATATATATATATCAATGATGATCTAATAGAAAAAATACGTGTATTACACTTTCTAAGTTTCCATCTATTCAAAGGTCATTTTAATACTACTTGCTTGTTGGTATGTAATTCTCTACCACATTCTCTTCTGTATTTGGAGCATTTGCGCAGTGTGAAATATTCAAGAAACTTCACCAACGTAGATTGCCTACGAGGAGATTCTGGTCAATAAACACCACAAGGCACGTGTCAGCGTCTCACTCTTCTCCTGACCCGCGCGCTGTCCACAACCTGCTTTAGGGACCTACACTTACCACTGTGCTTAACGTAAGGCTCTACACAGTTGTTGTGGCTTTGTAGGCTCGCTCGTGATTAGTTTATTCTACTGCAGTTATCGTGTCATAGAGTAACTCAAATTAAAATAATGTTCTCCATATTCGGGTTCCATAACTTTCATGATATATATATATATATATATATATATATATATATATATATATATATATATATATATATATATATATATATATATATATATATATATATATATATATATATATATATATATATATATATATATATATATATATATATATATATATATATATATATATATATATATATATATATATATATATATATATATATGTGTGTGTAATTAACGGTTTATTGAAAGAGCTTGGCAGCCAGAAGGCTGAAAATATACAGTTACATATTTGGGGAATGGGTTACGAATTACAAATAATATACAAGTGACATAAGTGACACAAATAAGACATATAGTAACTTAGATGGGGATCAGCTCAAACTACAGTTCATTTCAACATAGTGACAGTGTAGGGAGCAGTGTTTACTGGGAGTGAATACACTGATTTATTACATGTTATTGATAATTTTTACAATGGTTGGGACTGGGCTGTTCTTATAGCGATCAGTGTGTGTGTGTGTGTGTGTGTGTGTGTGTGTGTGTGTGTGTGTGTGTGTATGTGTGTCTGTGTGAAATTAATTCTCCTCTGGGAAGCGTGTGTGAAGAGTGTACCAAAGATGAATAATAGTTCCAATATATGGATAAACAGCAACATTTATTTGGTAACGTTTCGACAAATCGTTTCTTATCACCAGACCTAAATCATAAAATTAAATACAATGGCATCGAATAAAATTAAAGCAAAGGTTAATAATTAATAACTCAGTGGTTTGTTTATTCTCTCTCTCAAGGTATTTAGTCATTTATTTATCTTATTCTATTGGCCCTATTGAGCTTTTTTCGATGCCATTGTACTCAGTTTTTGTTTTAGGTCTGATGATGACAAGAGATTTGTCGAAACGTTACCAAATAAATGTTGCTATTTATCCATACGTTGGTACTGTTATTCGTCCCTAAGAATACAACGAAGGGGCAGGCCTTGTGTGAAATACAACAAAGGGTAGTATAGCTTTTGTTGCTCCTGTGGTACCGTGGTAGTGTTCCCTACTCACAAACAGACGTCCCAGGGTCGAGTACTGTTTAGCGAGGTAATATATGTATCTTAAAGTCAGAGTATTATATGGACTGTTGCCTAAGTACCCACTGTGAATTGCATAAATATTTTATCTGTGAATGAAAACTGAAGTAATTGTAAATTTTCCAAGCATATATTACATACAAGTCATTAAGAGAACAATACTGAAGCGCCTGGTGCCAGCTATATGCTAAGATTTTGGAAAGTATGATGAGATATGCGTATGTGAAAATTGGAAACAATCTGGCAAATCTATAATGATTCAGTAATTAGGCTATTTTTTTTTTTTTTGTTTTTTTAAGTTCGAAGATATAAAACAAAAACAAATCAAATTAACTACAAATCACGAACAGCCACTGCCATTTTCGCACCTTTATTTCTATTAATATATAATGAATGTTCTCGTCTAAGGAATCACGATTGTTAAGAGAAAAGTACAAGTTACTAATCCAAGTGATTTTTTTAGTTTTGTGATAAAATACTTTCTAACCTATTAATAGGAAGGTAATATTGTGTCATACTGAAACTCTTCAATAAAAGCGTAAATTCAAATAGTGGCGTCGAGTGTTATCAAACTGCAAAAATGTTTTGTTTGCACATACTGTATATAGTGACATAAATCTCGAACCATAAGTACACGGAGAGTAATTCAAAATAATTTAACTTCTTCTTGTGGCATTGATCGTAAAGGCTACGGTTATTAATGAAAATCAACATTGAGGAGTTTATATCACACATTACAGTAAAAAAATAAGACATTTGATAACTTTATAAAGTATCAAATCTTGAGACGTCATTAATAAATCTACAAATTACGGTATAAGCAAATGAATTGACCTTAAGGAAGTTTGAGAGAAAACAGTTAGAACTTCCCTAAAGTCTGAGAAAGATTTTATCCTTTGAAAAAATTATTACTCGTTGTTTTTCTCTTGCTGTCAAAGTGATAAGGCGCTGTTGTACCGAGTCTTCATAACCCGAATGTGGTTTTCTATATACCCTGTACTGTGTACTTAACTGTACCATAATATTATTAACGCTGAAAATAGAGTTTATAAAAGTCATCATTTAACTAACTTACGCTTCTTATTAAACACTGTATCGCCTTTAATTTGTTATTGTTGAAGTCAAGTGCTTACAAAACTCAGTGATACTGCTCAGTATTGGACTAAACCATCAAGGTAAATTAAATATACCTAAATTTTAGTTTGCCTCACCATCTAATTTATAGAAACAGGATTAATTTATGCACAGGAACTTGGGATTACCATCACTTGGTATGTGTGAATGCATTGCATAATTTTTATCTCTGCCTTTTGTCTTCAGCCGTTAACACTATATTATACAGGCATGGAAGAACCACCAAAACTATTTTCTTCAAAAATTATTTATTTAAATTACACACAGATTTTGTGGCTAAATACACATTTAATTCTGCACAGAACGATGGTGAGACAACGAACCATTCGAGCGACTGATGTACATGATCGCGCATGGTTTGTATGGATGTGGGAGAGCGGTAAGACTGCCCGGGACATAGCCCAAGAAACTGGCAGCAGCGTTACGACTGTGAGGCGATGGGTTAGACGGTGGAAGCGAGAGGGCAACATAAATACAAGACCTCGAAGTGGTAGACCTCGTTCTGCGACGCCGCGAGCATTACATGATAATGTTACAGATCGCCTGTCTACTGATTCATACCCCTTCTTTAGCCAGACAAACTCCCGTTATTATTGTCACCCACTATCCTGTACAGCCTGTTCGAAGAAAATATGCGTGATGTGCAACCTTTACTCCACATTTCGACAACATATAATCGATTTAATATTCAAGAAATGTCTAGTAAATGGTTATAGACCATCTTTATATCAATATCCATAGTTACTTAAATGATAAATGTTATTATAGTACCTCTATGTTTAATCAATAGCAACGATAAGTATCCGTGATACAGAATACTCTTTCAGAGTTTCTAAACACAGTCGACTATTTACAGATTCACACAAACTTCAGTAAATCAATTATTGTTAGACTAAAATTAATCAATTTTTAATGTGTAAATGGATACATAGATCTAAGGTTCAACCGTGAATTTTACATTCCCTTTTCATAAAAATCAATTAGATATTCTGTCTACTGTGTTTACGTCTTTAGGGGAAATAAACAGTACTCATTAGTTGATTAATCACTTACCACCACAAAGCTTTATGGTTCGATAATAATAAAGGCGAAGTTCATCATAAGGTTATAGCTGGCAGTATTTCACTGTCTTCGACTGGAATTAGTTCCAACGTATGTATATATGCTAATAACCACATAAAAGCATAAAAAAAAATAAAACACGAAGTTCCCAAGCGTTTTGTATTTGTATAACTGACAGCATCAGAGATCTAGGTGTTTTCTTTTTTGTCATGTGGTTACCAGCATATACACAGATCAATAAATATATATATATATATATATATATATATATATATATATATATATATATATATATATATATATATATATATATATATATATATATATATATATATATATATATCTTGATAAAATCACACGGGAAAATGGAAACAACGGAGTACCTTAGCTTTCGTCTTTATTCAAGACATCTTCAGAGGCAACTGATTACATGGACAGAGAGAGGCTTAAATATACAGGGTGACCTAAAAACATGAGGTCAGGTCATAATGATGACATCCACTAATCCCCACACCAACACAACCGTAGAGGAGCTTAAGAGAAGGGTGGTGACGTGACTAGACAGGTCAGGTCAGAAAAAAGGGACCCACAAAATAACTGTCATACATCAAGATCAAAGGTTTTCAAAGCATTTTTAACCTTGGGCCACTGACAAATAAATTTATGTAACATATTATCAGTTTTGAACTGACCAAAGCCTGTTCAACGAGCTTATGGCTCCGTGAACCTTTAATAGGGACTACCCGTGCCGCTTAGGTGATCATAGTAACGTTTTACCAAATCCGGCTTCGAAACACGAGGATCCATTAGCCCAATAAAGCACACGGACTTCTACATATAATCAACACCTCACCCGCGCCAGGACTCGAACCCACGATCTTATGTGTATGACCGGGGAACGTTACCTCTTACACCACTAGGACACTAAAAGCAATCCTAGACTTTGTTATATTTCACACAAGGCCTGTTCATCGAGCTTATGGCGCCGTGAACCTCCAAGGGAATTGCCCGTGCCTCTTGAGTGGTCAGAGAGTAGCGTTTTACCAAATCCAGCTTCGGATTGCTTTTAGTGTCCTAGTGGTGTAAGAGGTAACGTTCCCCGGTCACACACATAAGATCGTGGGTTCGAGGTCAGGTAAAAAAACATGACATCCACTAATCCACACACCAACCACACAGTAAACGTAAGAAGAGATTATAAGAACGGGCGACATAACTAGTCATGTCACGTCAGGTAAAAAATATGAGACCCACCAATCATCTATCATTCCGGGATTTAGAAACCTTCCATATCAAGATATGCTAAAGAAACTAAACTTGCATTCCCTAGAAAGACGAAGAGTGCGGGGAGATATGATAGAAGTATTTAAGTGGGTGAAAGGAATCAATAAAGACGACATAGATAAAGTTCTTATAATATCCGAGAAGGATAGGACTCGTAGCAACGGATTTAAGTTGGACAAGTTTAGGTTTAGGAGGGAGATAAGAAGGAACTGGTTCACAATTAGGGTGGTGGACGAGTGGAACAAGCTTCGGAACTTTGTAGTAAGTGCTGGAACGCTGGAAAGTCTTAAAAGGAGGATAGATAGATTCATGGATGATGGAGTTGGTTGTAACTATAGCCAG